CATTGAGAATGCGGTCTTCTTATTTGGCCTTACTCCAAAAATAATTTAATTATTAGTTACGAAATTGCTCATCACCTTCTGAAGAAAATAATAAAATTAAATAGAGAGCTCAAAATAAAAATGATATTTGAGATCAAGTTAAAGTTTATCAAATTATAATTGAAGGAGTTCGGGGATGAAGGGAATAAACTTTAACTGAGTTCAATGAACCGCTAGTTTCGGGTTGGTTGAATTAACCGCCAGTTTCAGGTCGGCCCAGTTCGATTAAAAAAATAAAAATTAATATTTTTTAAAGGGAGAATTGCCGGTCAAACCATGAGTTCGGTTCAACGCCATTGATCATGGGCTAGTTCGGGCCGAACCGATGGCCCGGCCTGGCACGTGGCCATGTCTAACTCTGACTAGGCTGAAATTTAATAAGTACGACAGTCTCGATAAGTAGATTAATCCAACAATAGGTCAATCGACTGAAATGAATACCAGATGATGCTAGAACTAGGCCGGACAAAGAACAACCAAAATTATTTTTGGACATAACACAAATTGGACAAATGGATTCGATTAGGTTAAAATTTTGCAAGTATACATAACCGCTTCGAAGAGACGAATACAACGATAGGCCACACAAGTGAAGCAGACGCCGAACAACGTCAGTTTTAGGCCGAACATAACATAATAAATTTTATTCAATCCTCCACGATTAGTGTATATCCCTTTCTTTTAGGAAAATGCTACATGCACATAATAAATGTACATAGAGGTATACATAACACTCACATGGAGTGGGGTCCACTTAATTTTTTATTTTTGATAGGTCTCATTCAATGTGAATGTTATGTACACCCCTATGTACAATGTTATGTACTTATAACATTTCCCTTTCTTTTATATTTTTAACAAATTAATATACTAAATTTGATGTTCGCCAAAATAACACATGTTTTTAAAAAAAGTCCACTGTAGAATCAAAATATGTACAGAAAATCGATAATAAAAAAATAAAATAAATAAAATATGTACAAGAAAACTAATTCATATCATGCCAATTTTGATAATTAATACATAATATGCATAAATGATTACCATCCAAATTAGCATAAATTTTTTACCAAGAAACCTAATTTTAATGGAACAAAAAATATTTGTTTTAAGATACAAGACAAAAACTAGCAACATCCTTAGGTTGTTCAATCCTTATAATTACTATTGTAGACCAATGATTGATTAACCAAAACATGATTATGCAAATTACCCTACGCAAAAAAATCTAGCCACCCAAAAAAAAAAAAAAACTAAACTAAATAGCAATTAGGGTTTATAAGTATTTGTGTGTGTATTATATACATTAATTGTTCAAATCCCTAAAACATTCCAAAGTCATTGATATCTCGCGCCTCGTCCGCTGGACTGAGTGCAGTTAATAATCCCACCCACTCATTCTATCAATCATAATACCACTTTCTCTCTCATTCTCTCTCTCTCTCTCTCAAATTATACACTCTTGCAAAATCCCACTAAAAAAATCTCTCTCCCGATCTCTAGATTTGGTAGAGTTTTTATTTTTTTTCTCCCACTCTCTCATTATAAAATACATATATATGGAACATTTATTTTATATCTATACAGGTATCTCTTTCTTTATTTTGTGATGCCCTTTTGTTCCCCTTGTTAAATACTTTCTTGAAGCTCAAGCTGAATTTATTTTAGCTTATTTGAAGAAGTTCTTGGTTTTTTTAGCTCAATCTTCTTGATTTGCTTTGAGCTAGCCCTTTTCATTCTATCGTTTTTAACCCTTCATTCGAAAATCGTACGGAAAGTTCTAGCGATTTCCAGAGTTTGATTGATCCGAGCTGAAATGTCGATGGAATTGACCTCCGAACGTGTTTGTTATGTTCAGTGCAACTATTGCAACACCATTCTAGCGGTATATATATATGTGAATTATTTAATTCTCTCTGTTATATTTTGTTGTGCATGTTGAGAATTTTATTGAATCAATTCAACTAACATATATAGTTTAATTACCTAACATTCATTAGAAATAAAAGGGAGAAAAACTTCCTTCACAGAAAATTAATTGGAAAGGGTTTCTTTTAATGAAATACTTTGGATGTGAATTACTAAACTAAGAAATAAAAGTTTTATTTTGCTTTTGTTTCTTTAGTTTCTTTTTTTTTCTCCTTTTTTTTTTCAATTATTGGAACTGAAAAAATGTTGCTAATTTAGTTCATATTTTTTATTTTTAGTTTAAGTTTTTTTGTACTTGGTTGGATCTTGAAGTAACAAAGAATTAAGCTCATAATTCATCACCAGCTGATATTTTATGTTGTAATTTAAGAACCTAATTTTCCTTCCCTCCCCCCATGAATTTAAGATTCATATAATGATAATAGAAAAAATAAAATAAAAGAATGAATTTTAAAACTATGAAAATCCTTGTCTGAGTCCAAAACTTGAGATCTCTACAGATCCCATTTTAGGAAAGTACATAAATTCACTTACTCCCTTTTATTTTTTTTTTCTTTTCCTTTTTAATCACTTACAACGAAGAACCCTAATTAGTTAATTATATGTATGCCTAAAAACCAGAAAAATTTAATTTAATTAATTTCTTATGACTTAAACTGCAGCCCTATATGAGGTTACTGTTCTTAGGGTTCTTTCTTATTAAATATTTTTTTGTTTATTTTAATTTTTATTTCTTTATGTGCAGCAAACTAAATACAATACTGTTTTCTACATACGAAGCCAAAACACACACTAATGCTCAAAATGGGTGCCTCTGTTTGAACTATTTCCTTAAATTTTTGTTTTTGATTTTATGTATTTACTGCAATTCTGATACTTTTTTGTGTTTTTATGATGTGGGATCTCAGTTTTTCATATGCTGCTGCTTTAGAGCTGCCAAAAGAAAATCATGGCACAGAAAAAAGTGCTGCCTTTTTCTTTTACCTTTTTCTTTTTCTCACAAAATACCACTGTTTTTCCTTTTTCTTTTCTTCTTTTTTCTCAAGCATTTTTTTTAAGATAATCATAGAGTTTAATTTGAGTTCTTTTTGCAAAATTAGTTTTTTTTTCAAGATGGGTTTATTTTTTTCTACTAATGATTTAATATATGATAATAAATATTGAAAATACCACTGTTCTTTTTTCCAGTATTCTTTCAAGATATTGGCTTTCTTTCACCGTCATATCTTGTTAAACTTGTAATCTTTTGTATCCCTTTTGCAAATTTAGTATTTTTTGAAGATGGGTCCCTTTATTTTCTACTAATAATATAATATAGGTTAATAAAAATTGAAAATACCACTGTTTTTCTTCTATTTTTTCTCAAGATATTGGCTTTTTTCTTTTAACCACCAATCGCAGTTCAAAGCATATAATATTGTTAAATACTCATTACATTACATATAATATCTTGTTAAAATTTGTACTCTTTAGGGATCCCTTTTGCAAATTTAGTATTTCTGAAGATGGGTCCCTTTTTTTTCTACCAATTATTAAATATGTTAATAATTTCAGGTTCAAAGTACAATATACTATTAAGTTACTGGATATAACAATAACAGTGTGCTTAATGATTTGAATCTTGGTTATGTTTTTTTGATGATTTCTGTTCCAGTCAAGTCGTTTTCTTCTCTCTCTCTCTCTATGTATGTATATATTTTATTTTGAAACATTATGACACATAGAGATCAGTGATGACATAGATGCAGTGTAATCAGAAAGAGCAGAAAAAAAGGAAAAAAGTCATAACTTCTGAAATAGAAAAAAAAAAAATAAAAAAACTTTATGAGGGCTTCTTTTTGACTCGAGGGCTATTGTTCTTTATGGTTAATTATTCCCCATATATATGAGGGTTTTGGTGTTTACTCCTTTGCATATATTTAATAAATAAATTCATTGTATCAAGATTTTGGTAGAATAATATTTCCCCCAGACTCTAGTTATTGATTTTTTTTTTTACAGTTGGATATTAATATTATTTCACCCTATTACAAACCCCATATAAGTGTGTGTGAATATGTTAAAAAAAATCGAATGAGAAAAAAAAAATGAATCTTTAGCTTTGCAAGTAGTATTCTACTGTATCTAGGGTTTTTGGTTACTACTGAAATTAAGATCTTTTGCTAATAAAAATTTTTAATATTTTAAATTTCAACTGCAAAAGTATTTAATAAATGGAAAAAAAAAAAAACAAAAAAAAACTGATGATTAAATTCAATTCAGGTTAGTGTTCCATATGGCAATATGCTGACATTTGTGACAGTGAGATGTGGGCATTGTGCAAATTTGCTGTCAGCTAATATGGCTGCTTTGCTTCAGTCAGTTCATCTTCAAGATTTTCAGGTTTGTGTATATATATTCTTACATATATTTGTGTGTGTATTGTTGTGTAACTATATAATGTAAAACGTTATTAAATGAAGTGAATTGCTTGTGGGCTCGACTTTTTAAGTATCGACCTCAAGAGTTAATCGAACCCGATTTTTGTTAAAACTCGTTTAGTTAACCAGTCAAATTTGATAGGAATTTTTATGTATTTTTTTATAATTCGGCTCATTATATATTGATGAACAAGTTGAGTTCGAGCTTGTTTATCAGCTCATTCAATTAAACTGTGTTTCTATCTCATGTTTAAACACTAACTAATTAGAGCATCAATTTTTCAATTATTAAGTTGGCAGCTACATATATTATATATCTAGCTTGGCTCATTCAATTCTAGATTAAGCTATATTATATATATGACTAACATTTTTTCAAAAATTGCATGAATATATGATGAAAGCTCCACAAACAACAGTCAGTCACGGCCAATAAAGACGGTGGATCATCGTCAAAGTGCAATAGATTCGGACAGATGCAAACTGATTACGAACAACCTAAGACGCCTCCAATACGCCGTAAGTTTCTACTTGACTTGGAATTGATTGATTTTTTTTATTTTTTTTTTGCAATTATTCCAACCAATTAAATGACAAAAAAACAACCATTCGAATTGTTAAAATTGAGTATAAATTGGAACGAAAAACTCATTTAAACTGAAAAATTATTAGAATTTCTATTGAAATTTTCCAACAAAAATTGTAACAGTATTCGTTGGAGTTACCATCAAATTACTAATTATGTTAATATTTTATCGATCATCTTCTTGTACTTAATAATTTTGCTGATCCAAATTCACTTAAAAATATTATAGTTTATGATAGGTAGAGAAATTATGTACATTGTTTTCAGAGTATGATATTCATGTGAAAGTATGTTTTGTTGTTTATAAAAGCAAGAGTCTCCAGTCTAATCCAATCAAAATTTAATCAGAACCAATTATTTAATTTACACTTGTTTAACGGTTAATTTTTTTTTTAATTTAATGCTATTCTATATTCAAATTAATTAAGTAGGTCACACGATAAAAAGGAAGGTAAAAAGAGAGCACCTGACATAATTTCCTGATAAGTGCACCTGTTTGTGATTGTGACATTACATTTCAATACAACTGATCATCTGCAATTGCACTAGCTACCGTTCTCAAACATTATATAGGCCTCATTCACACTTTTTTTTATACAAAAATAAATAAATATATTCGGCAAATGACTATTTATTGATAAATTGTTTAAGACGTTCATTAATGAATGTTCATGTAATTAAATACAAATTTTTATGTGGGACGACCAAACTCTTTTAGCAAGTCGTTTCGTTTGTGAGTTTAATAAAAAAAATATATACTTATGTTATGAAATGTCATACTTTCGTTTGTGTTATTGTTTTAGAGCATATAATATTTCAGTTTGAAAGTATGTATATATGTTAAAAAAATATGATTGCATAATTGTCAGGCTTTACAAATAAATAAATAAATAAAAAGTTCAAATTAATTTATTTTTTTGTTTATTGTGTATGGAAAGGAAATATGAAAATTACTTTGTTTGGTTAAAAGATAAATACTGCTGTTTATTGTGATATTTATCATTTATTGTTACTATTTTAGCACCACAAATTACAATCAATATTTTCATTGTCACTCCTTACAAATTACAATTATTATTTTCAAATTCAGTTTCCATTCTCCTTAAAATACCAAAAACACCATTATTATTGCACACTTTGCACAATATTGTTATTAGTCTCATGAATCAATTCCATTTAACTCATTTAATAATTTTAATCTATTGATTTGCAGCTCCTGAGAAAAGGCAACGTGTTCCATCAGCTTATAATCGTTTCATAAAGTAAGTATTATATGATTTTGTTTAAACAATCTTAATTATTACATGACCAAAATAATTTTTCATAATTTGTATCAAAATTATTTTGTTTGTCAGAGAGGAGATTCAAAGGATAAAAGCAAGTAATCCCGAAATTAGCCATCGCGAAGCATTTAGCACCGCAGCCAAAAACGTAAGTGTTGGTAATTTAAATAGATTTTTTTTTTTTTTTTTGGAAAATGTAATTATTATGAATTGCAAAATGTCCATTAATTTTCCAGAATAGAAAAAGTTATTGGGCAAATTAGTCATCGGCGACAAGTTACTGGGTATGTTTTATAATTTTGCCTAACTATTAAGCAAAATTATAAAAATGCTCTTAATATATAATTTGAAAAAATTACACTTTTTTCTAGTAACTTTTGATATCGTTGAAAATGCCACTAACTAATAAATATTGAGCACAATATGCTAAAAAATGTTGTAAAAACTATCTAGTGACTCATTGCAAGAAGAAAAAAATTAAATATCCACTCTAACTCATGTAATTGGAGATTTTAATTAGTTTGTGTATATATTCTACAATATTGAAAGATAGTGGCAAGAAATAATTAAAATTTTGATTGTTGTTTTGTGTTGATATCAATGTTTGACTGTATATATAAATATGCAGTGGGCACATTTTCCTCATATTCATTTTGGACTAAAGCTGGATGGCAATAAAGAAGCAAAGATGGACCATTCAGTTGCAGGACAAGGGATACAGAAATCTCTGGGTTTCTAGTTATAAATATTAAGTTAATTTTCACAAAAAACAAGGGTAATTAAAAAAAAAATATTTGCATTGTCTTTTCATCCCAGAAAAAAAAAATGATGATTAAAATTTTGTGGCTTTGTGATCCCTCTTATTTAAACTAAGCATTTTCATTATTGATAAATAATAAATATGAGGGACTTAAGGCCACAAAATTTTCNGTTTCCCTTGTAATAATAAACTTAATTTATTTTTCAGTGATGGATTGCAATTGTTTGGTAACCTAAACAGGATCTTATGTATGTATCTATAAACATAATCAGTAATATTGTTATTCATTTCATTGGAAATAACACTTTACATCCCCAAGTCTTTTGTCAATTGGCATATTGGGATTCCTCCATTTTTCATAAAATTGATAAATTTTAAAAACATAACAAGACTCCTATTGATTAAATATTGAATTTCAACGTGACTACTTTTGCAACAACTTTAAGGTATGAGACTACTTTTGAAAATTTCTTAAATGTCACGTGTATGTGACATTGATGGAATGGTAGAAAAAACACTTATCACATCTATGTTTTATATTATAAGACTATTTTTGGACTTTTCCCCAAAACAAAGAAACTAAAAGTAAAATACTTACATATGTTTGCGAAATTGAAATATCTATTGATGAGAATATTTGCTAATTTATTCACTATACAGTAGATGCAAACACAATTTGGTATATACTCTACTTTTTTTATTTTATTTTTTATTTTAATTTTTCCTTTTTTGGCTTTTATCTTTGGTTACTTTTTCATATATTCAAACACTCACATTAGCATATATTCAAAATATAGTGTGTGTATTTGTGCGTGCCCTATATTTCAGGGATGTGACCAATACATATATCTCTGTCTCCTTTTGTCAGTGATCAGAATTTATCAGAACACACACAAATGCCCGAAATTTCTTCACCTGTTAACTAATTAATGCTGTTTTGATATGTTGGAATTTTTTCTATTATATCAACACATATATATTCAGATGGGTATATTTGAATCTTGGTTATGTTCTTGGTTACAAAAGTTTTGATAAAAGTGAGTTGTGAACAACAACAATTTTATCTGTGATTGGCTATAAATGTAAATTCTTTTTTATTTCTCCGTCAAGATTTATCTAATTAAAATTGAAAATGAAACTCAAAAAAGAAAAAATTACAAAAAATACTATTTACTTCGTATCACTTTTTTTTTTTGTACAATTATACTAACACCACTGAAAAATAATAACAATAATTATTATTATAGAATATCTAATTGAAAACACTACTAAATATTAATCCACTCTTGTATTTTTAACCATCAATGTCATCACTTCATATTTTATTATTTTCATACTACATTAATTTTACTCAGTTTACATTTTTATCTTATATTTATTCATAACCATTAATTTATTTCACTTTTACAAAAAATAAAAATAAAAATACTATTTTTGTATTTTTTTCATCTTAGTTTTTATTCTTGGCGGGGGAGGGTTAGGGGGGACAAGATATTTTTTTTTCTTAAAAAAAATGTTATATTGAATCCCAACCATTTTCAACTTTTATTTTTTATTTTTTGGTCTTTTAAGACATAGTTTGAATCATTATTAAAAAAACATTTTGGTGTGTGTGGTAATGTGTGTTTGTGTGGGGTTGATGGTGACAGTTCAAAGTGTTGAGGAGTCATAATCAGTGATGAGTATTATTATATTATATATCAAATCAAGAAATTAAGGACACACGGCCATTTTACTTGATTACACTCCCAATATGTGAAAGGTTCTTTAGCTTCAAATTTGTAAGGATATCAAATGCAAATAATATTTTATTTAGTCAAAATTGGAAAAACAGAACCGCACCAATTTGTTTGGTTCCAAACCAAACATTCAACTTTGATTTAATGGTTTGCTAAAAATATGAATGAAATCCCAACCACCATTGTATTTTTTACCAGATAACTTCGAAATTGCGTTTCTTAGTTATTGGTTCAAATTTCAATGAGAAAATGTGAAATTAATTTTACAATTTTCCGAAAACAACAAATAAAATGATTCTT